GAAAGTTTCCTATCTTGCTGAAATGGCAAAGATCTCGGCTTTTTTGAAAAGCCACTCGAATGAACAATTTTTATCAATATGGAGAAGATGGGTTGTTTATATTCAGAAGAAACATGGTGTGGTAGAATATAATTTAGGTTTCTAGATTTTTTTTTGTATTTTAATTGTGGAAGTATAATGTGGTAGAATAGAATTTAGGCTTTTTTTAGATTTTTCTATATTATGATTTTGTTTATTTTTTTTTATTTTCTTGTGTATTAAGATATATTGCGGAGTTAGAGATATTAGTATATGTTTACTTTTATATGAATATTATCCTGGGATTTGGTTTGGGAAGTCGGGGGGGTGGGGTGGGGGGCTTATAATTCTTATTGTGTTTACTTATGTTTAATTGTTTTTTATTGTAAAACAATAAAACTTTTTTTTGGAAAAAGTCAATGGGGAAGCCAGATTCACTTAACAACTGTGTTACTAAACTGCAGTGATTCACTTAACAGCTATGGCAAGACAGTTCGTAAAATGGGGGAAAATTCACTTAAATGTCTCGCTTAGTAACAGAAACTTTTGAGCTCAATTTTGGTCATAAGCCAAGGACCACCTATGTCACAAAGAGCTCCATGATCAAGGGTGGAGCTGAATCTGGGTTTTATCAGGGCCAATCTAACTTCTTCGCCACTGGGCTTCCCTCTCAACTTTCCACTCTGCTTCCTTCTCTAGATACGGTTGCTGATTCGTGTGATCCTAAAGCTGCTGAGATTGTAGGAGGCAATTATACTCTACTGGAAGATGGAACCACATTGCTCTATGAGTGTCCTCAGGGACAGTATCCACATCCGACACAATTCCGGTTTTGTAAGGATGGCAACCAGTGGAGCCCCTTGACCGGCAGGGATGGCAGGATTGTCCAGCAGGCTGTGTGTCAAGGTACGTTGGTTCATTTCTCAACAGAGAGGCATTGTATGACATCTCCCCTCTTTCTCTTGTACCTTATCGCCAACCAAGTCCTGGGTTTTCCACCAAAGACCTTTTGTAATTGTATAAAAAACTGTGGGAGTTGCTAGCAGCTCAAGGTTTATTCAAAGTGCAAAAGTATGTTTACTTTTCTTTTATCTATTGAAAACGTTTATAAAGCCGCCTATCTTAAAAACAAGTCTGGGAAGCTTATCTGTATAAATAAAAATGTAAATGTTCGTTTGTTCAAAATCTTAAATCTCCGAAAGTTCTTCACTGATTGCTTTGAAATGTTGACACAACGTTGCATTCGACGCGCATGTTTTTATATACCTACTATTATATAGATGTCACACCTGTGACAGGTAAAAACATGCTTTTTTGAAAAACAGCACCATCTGTTGGACGTAAAAGCAACACACGCTACGATTTTATGATTCCATTTCAATGTTTCCGATTTACGATCCATTTACGATTTCCAAATTTACAATTTTACGATTCCATTTCAATGTTTCCGATTGCATTGTTAAATTGAATTTTCATAGATTTCGATTTATTTTCGTTTTGATTTAATTATTTCGTGTGTCGGCAAACCAGACAATCTCTATATCTGCACAGACAATGGAACAACAAAAAATATTGTATACCCACAAGCATTGTGAAATTAAACATATTACAAACGTGCACTTTCTCTTTTCTTTCTTTTCCATTTAACCAGACTGAGCCACAGCAACGCGTGGCCGGGTACAGCTAGTAACCAATAAAACAAGAATAAAAGGAACAACAATAATGCTAAAAGCGGGAAAGCAGCCTGCAACCCTGAAGCACTCCCACTACCATTTAATTTTTAACTTATTCTATCTGTGTTTTTATTTGGCTCCCATTTCCCTCAACTTGATACATATTGCGTTTTTATGTGATTGCCATGCTTTTATCTGTAAGACTCCCAGAGTCACTCTAAGAGTGAGAGGGGCAGTATCTATGTTTGATAAATGAATAAAAAGAAGTCTGGGTGGCACAGTGGTTAAATGCAGTGCTGTAGACAAACTCTGCCTACAGTCCGGAGTTCGATCCTGACAAGCTCGAGGTTGATGCAGATTTCCATCCTTCTGAGGTCAGTAAAATGAGGACCCGGATTGTTGGGGGCAATATGCAAATAAGGGTTACTTCGTAAACCACCCAGAGAGTGCTGTGTAGGGGGCAGTATATAAGTCTAAATCAGGGGTCCTCAAACTTGGCCCTTTTATGACTTGTGGACTTCAACTCCCAGAAGTCTGGCTGAGGAATTCTGGGAATTGAAGTCCACAAGTCATAAAAGGGCTAAGTGTGAAGACCCCTGGGATAAGTGAATATAAATGGCTGCTTGGTTGTGTGTTGAGGTGCCACTAGTGCAGGGGTCTTCAAACTTGGCCCTTTTATGACTTGTGGACTTCAACTCCCAGAATTCCTCAGCCAGGCACACTGGCTGAGGAATTCTGGGAGTTGAAGTCCACAAGTCATAAAAGGGCCAAGTTTGAGGACCCCTGGTCTAAATGCTATTGCTATTGTTATTGTTAGAGTCACACTTCTCTGCTGCACCCATGTTATCATCATTGCTTGACTTCGCCCTGTCCCAATTTCCCCGAGATGGGTAGGGTGTTTCAGAGGGCAGGGGAAAGTCATGCTTCCAAAGTCCTAAAAGTTGGCAATACAAGTAGTCCTTGACTTACAACCACAACTGAGCCCAAAACTTCTGTTGCTAAGCGAGATATTTGTTAAGTGAGTTTTGTGCCATTTGACGACCAGTCTTGCCATAGTTCTTAAGTGAATCTCTGCGATTGTTCAGTTGTTAACACAGTTGTTAAGTGAATCTGGCTTCCCCATGGCCTTTCTTTGTCACACAGTTGCAAAAGTGGCCACCTGACCTTGGGACACTACAACCGTCATAAATATGAGTCAGTTGCCAAGCATTTGGATTTTGATCACGTGACCCTGGGGATGCCACAATGGTCATAAGTGTGAAAAATGGTCATAAGTCACTTCAGTGCCGTTGTAACTTTGAACAATCTCTAGCAATAGCACTTAGATTTATATACTGCTTCATAGTGCTTTATAGCACCCTGTAAGTGGTTTACAGAGTCAGCGTATTGCCCCCCTCCACAAATCTGGGTCTTCGTTTTACTGACCTCAGAAGGATGAAAGGCTGAGTCAACCTTGAGCTGGACAGGATCAAACTTCTGGCAGTGGGCAGAGTTTGCCTGCAATATTGTATTCTAACCACTGCACCACCACAGCTCTCTAAACAAATGGTTGTAAGTTGAGGATAATCTGTAGTGATATTTGTTCCTTCCTTTCATTCCTTCCTTCACTGTTCCTTCTAGGCATGTCATAGTCTATGGAATTAATTGTGGCTTCATAATTGTCTCAGATAAACAGGACCAGAATGATTGTGAATGGTGGAACTGGAAGGAGAGGGAGCTGGGATTGGATAAGATATGGAGAAAAATTTACTGATATTTTCTCTTCCATCCAGCCGTCCGATGTGTCAGGCCTCTAGAATTTGAGAATGGTGTTTTCGAGACCTTCCAGCAATTTTACGACATAAACCAGGAGCTGAGGTTCGCTTGCTACGATGGATACCAGCTGCGGGGCTCCCAGATTCGTACCTGTCTCCCCAATGGGAAATGGAGTGGAGAAACAGCCATATGTGATGATGGAAGTGAGTCTGACGATCATTTGTGATCAAGGTCTACCGTTTCTTCCCTTTGGGGAAATGGCTATCTAAATGTAAATTCTCAATCATCCAGGTCATGGTTGTACCAAAAGTGCTTCTGAATGGAACTAAAGAAGCTAGTTGGATGAGAAGCAAAATGTTTCCGAAGAAAAACATGAAGTACTAATACCACTTTATAAAGCCTTAGTAAGACCACACCTTGAATACTGCAACCAGTTTTGGTCTCCACACTATAAAAAAAGATGTTGAGACTCTAGAAAAAGTGCAGAGAAGAGCAACAAAGATGATTAGGGGACTGGAAGTTAAAACATATGAAGAACAGTTACAGAACTGGGCGTGGCTAGTCTAGTGAAGAGAAGGACCAGGGGAGACAAGATAGCAGTGTTCCAATATTTGAGGGGCTGTCACAGAGAGGAAGAGGTCAACCTATTTTCCAAAGCACCTGAAGGCCAGACAAGGAATAATGGATGGAAAGTGATCAAGGAGAGATTCAACCTGGAAATAAGGAGAAATTTCCTGACAGTGAAGGTCCCTTCCGACTCTGTTATTCAGTTAATTCTTAACATTCTTGAAGTCCACACATCTTCAAGTTGAGAAACGCTGGTCTAGAACACCAGAATTCAAAACCAATGTTTTCTCAAGGAATTTTTATCATACATTGATGATGCACTGTCTCGTCTGATGTTTGGTTTAACTGTTTGCCCCCTGGAGTCCTTGGGAATGTGGTGGCGCAAAAAACTGAATTTGCAGATAAATAAATAAATCGGTGTGTAATTCCCTTCCCCTCTCATTTTCAGCCGGCCATTGTCCTGATCCAGGAATTCCAATTGGTGCTCGAAAATACGGCACAGAGTACCAAGCAGATAGTACGGTCCGCTACCAGTGTTCGAGAGGGTTGTCTCTTATCGGATCTAAGGAAAGAGTTTGCCAAAGATCAGGAACTTGGAGTGGATCAGAACCAGAATGTCGAAGTGAGTAAACAGGGTAGGAAAAGACGGGCTTAGCATCTGAAAAGGTGAATCTAGAACTGTTATTGTTTTCTCTCTTTTTTTGGCATTATGGAACTTCCATATTATTATTTTTTTCTACTTTACACACACACACACAAACACAAAACAATACTGGGAAATAAATTCACTGTCTCCTTTTCTTTCCCAGGCCCATTCACCTTTGATTCTAAAGAAGAAATCAAGACCAAGTTCCTTCCATCCCTCACTGAAGTTGCTTTGTCTGCCAGTCAAGGTAGTAATACCATTAACTTTTTGTAATCATGGTAGGCTAGGACAGGGCTTTTCAACCTTTTCACCCATTGTACCACTTTTAGGATATGGCAACATCCGAGTACCACCAGTCGCCTAGCAAGGTGTCAAAAACTTGATGATCAAAAAAAAAAAGGAAAAAAGTGATAAAGTACAGGTAGTCCTCGACTTACAACAGTTCGCTCAGTGACTGTTCAAAGTTACAATGGCACTGAAAAAAGTGCCCCCCAAGCCACAGCCGAGCAAGACACCTGCCTGCCCTCCCGGCGGCGCTCTTCCTCCTGTCCGAGGTTTCCATTGTTGTGAGCATTTCTGTTGAGGATTGGCAGCGGGGGTGGGGTGGGGGGGTGTTTGGTTTTTATTCCCACCCCCCATCTGCTGTGTGGTTGCAGCAGGTTTTGGTCACTTCACATGACCTTGGGACACTGTGACCGTCATAAATATGAATCAGTTGCCAAGCATCTCAATGTAAATCACAAGACCCTGGAGATGCTGCAACATTCCAGCTGATTTGCGCTTCTTCAGGGCTCAGCAGAAGCACCAGGATCAGTGCCGAGCTCCAGCTGGAGCCTGGCGCTGATCCTGGCGCTTCCCCTGAGCCCTGACAGCCCTGCAGCTCCAGCCATCTCTCGCTCAGGCTTGTGCAGTGCTGTCACCGGTTCAGCTCATTCCCCTCCCCCGCTACCACTTTTCTAGAATGGTCGCGTACCACCTGCCAGGTGCCAATGTACCACAGGTGGTACCCATACCACTGGTTGAAAAGCCCTGGGATAGGAGACTGGAACATCACTTTATACTGTTCTTTAATTGGAAAGATATTATTTTCTATCATCCTTGGTAGAAGGACCACTTGTTGAAGATTCTAATACAATACACTTCTGATTGGCTGCCAGCCTTGCGAGGTGGGCCAGGTCAGGAAGCTAACTGAAAAAGGCTCTTGAGAGGTTGCCAGAATTTCCTTCCACCCCATCTTAAGCCAAGCAGAATCAAGGTGTGGGGAGATGTGCCCTGGGCATCTTTAGGGGGGGAAAGAACACAGTAATGTCATGCTGCAAACTCCATGGCTTATCTCAGGATCTCCAAACTTGCCAACTGTAAGACTTGTGAACTTCAACTCCCAGAATTCCCCAGCCAGCATGAAATTCACAAGCCTTAAAATTTGCCAAGTTTGGAGGCCAACACTCCAGAAGACAGGCTCAAGATCCAGATGGATCTCAACAGACTTGAATACTGGATCCTATCTAACAAAATGAAATTCAAGGTAGAGAAAAGTAAGGTTTTATATTTAGGCAAGAAAAATCAATTGTAGGGGTACAGATTAGGAGCAACCTGGCTCAACAGCAGTAATTGCGAGAGAGATCTTGGAGTCCTAGTAGACAATTACTTAAATATGAGCCAGCAGCGTGCAGCACAGAAGCTAAAAAAGCCAACACAAACCTAGGTTGCATTAACAGAGGGATAGAATCAGTTAGCTCCGCTTTATAATGCCTTGGTAAGACCACACCTGGAATATTGCATCCAGTTTTGGTCGCCATGAGGTAAAAAAGATGTTGAGACTCTGGAAAGAGTGCAGAGAAAAGCAACAATGATTAGGGGACTGGAGGCTAAAACATATGAAAAACAGTTGCAGGAATTGGGCATCTCTAGTCTAGAGAAAAGAAGGACGAGGGGGGACATGATAGCAGTGTTCCAATATCTAAGGGGCTGCCATAAAGAAGAGGGGGGTCAACCTATTTTCCAAAGCACCAAAGGACAAGAAGCAATGGATGGAAACTAATCAAGAAGAGAAGCAACCTAGAACTAAAAAGAAATTTCCTGACAATGAGAACAATTAACCAATGGAACAGCTTGCCTTCAGAAGTTCTGGGTGCTCCATCACTGGAGGCTTTTGAGAAGAGATTGGACAACCATTTGTCTGAAATGGTATAGGGTTTCCTGCCTGAGCAGTGAGTTGGACTAGAAGACCACCGAAGTCCCTTCCAAGTCTGTTATTCTATTAATCTGTTAGACCTGGTGCCTTATGTACGGGCATTTAACACGGGGACGCAAGAATTTTATTTTTATTTTATTCATACACTCCCTTTATTATTTTTACAAATAACTCAAGGCTGCAAACATATCCAACAGATCTTCCTTCTCCTATTTTCCTCACAACAACATCCCTGCAAGGTGGGTTGGGCTGAGAGAAAGTGCCTCGTCCAAGGTCACCCCACCCGGTTTTCATGGCTAAGGTGGGACTTGAACTCACAGTCTCTGGCTTTCTAGCCTGGTGCCTTAACCACTAGACCAGGGGTAGGCAACCTTGGCTCTTTTATTTCATTTTTTTTTTCATTTTATTCAATTTGTATCCCGCCCTTCTCCCGAAGGACTCAGGGCGGCTCACAACATTTTTTTAAAAACAAAAACAAACCCACAAACCCCACCGAATAAAACCAAATTAAAACCAATATTTTAGAGTTGTGATAATTAAAATTTCTAAGAAACCCAATTTAAAATCCTCCCTAGGCCAGGCCCGCTTGTTGGAAAAGCCATGTCTTGAGGGCGCGGCGGAAAGTAAGGAGATCCGGAATCATCCGGATCTCGGGGGGTAGTTCGTTCCAGAGGGCAGGGGCACCCACAGAGAAGGCCCTCCCCC